CTAGAACAACAGAACCATCCCACCTGCAGTGCCACAACTGTGTTCATTTTTGCCTGTCACTCCGATCGCTTAACATTCTAAGAAGTAAGAATAAGATTTCTGAACCAACATGCTGTTATCTACTGATGATACAGATTACCTTGCTGCCGTGTTGGATCCATTCCACTAGGCAATAATGGCTGACTTCCTGGGACACCTCCAAGTGCCTATAAATAAAAACACCAACATTTAAAAGTTAAATTATATATGAACAGAGAGAGGCTTTTTTTTTAATGCAATGTGTTTCAAATGCCAAGCAATATTAAATATAAAAGCAGTATTTTAATATTATTAAAATATTAAAACAGTACTTTATTGAATTAGGTTTTTAAGATAAGCTACCTCTGACTTTCCTTACATTTTCACAAACTACAATGATTTCCAGTTCCAAACATGTCTATCATTTTGATTGTAATTAAGTTTGTTCACCCAGTTATTAGATGCCTTTTGTTAACCAAAAATTGCTGGAAACCTCAATAGGAACACTGCATCAATTCCACTGATTTCAATGGAATATTGGTTGAACGACTACATGAAAATTAAGCATGTATTTAACCATGCTAATTTTGCTCAAGTTTTGTAACATGAAATAACACAATCAGTGCTGTAACTGTGCCTTATATTAAGCAGTGCTTTTTAGAATCCTGACATAAAATGAAAAAAATCCACCCACAGACAGGGGAAGTCTTGACTGAGCAGACTTCTGAGTGCTCTTCCAGATGAGGCTTTTTGCTGTGCACTCACTCTATAAACTGAATTTTGCAGAGGGTCCAATTCGTAAACTGCTGTCATTCTTTAAATGGAGGCTGTATTTGTCTTGCCTCAAATAAAAAATGCAATTCCTCCCCCTCAAAAAAAAAATTGCCAGGAAGCGGGGCGGTGAAGCACAGTGTGTGAGATGCCTTCATTTGCCCACCACGGCTGAAGGCTGCGAAGAAAGTTAGTGTCACATTAAACAACACTGTTTCTTCACTTCTGCAGTTCTTTTTTCTTTTCTTTTTTTGTTTTGCTGCTACAGACTGATAAAAGTACAAGAGACAAAACCCCTCAGACTCTTGACCTAGACTTCTGGGAATCAAGAGGCTGATATGGTGCATTTCCAATAAAATTTCATTTGCATTGTCAAATGCCCGTATAATGGTTTGGAGTTTGCTGAAATTATTGTTCTCAAAAAGAAAGTATGCAGAGATTTGACTTTTCTGGTTCGGTTTTCTCTTGCCCCTTGCATTTCATTAATAAAAGGACTGTTACCTGATTGGGTATCCTTAAAGGTGGCCTTGGGCCTCCTGGGTATCGGGGGGACATGAAAGGCTGCAAAAGAAAATAACTATATTAAGAACACAGATACAGCCATTTTAAATTAAATCCTAGAAAAACTTTGATACTAATTCTCACAACTAACAAGAACGTTAAATTATTTGAGCAGTGACGGATGTTACTGCACTTCTTAACTGACATTTATTGATTCCTGTAATCTGGGACTATCAACATTCTGGGGCCACTAAGCATCACCACTTCTGTTCTCAGAAAAGCAAGACCTACAACCTAGTTCTTGCAGAGCTGAAATAAAACAGTGCCTACACTCATAGGAATCTTGTAATACAAGTTAGTAATGTAGGAACAGTCCCTTTATATATACTGTGTTAGCACTTTTCTGGGCCACATGACTGTAAGCAGGGCTGGGGATAAGGTTAAGACAGAGCTTACCAAGAGCATATAAAAGGACTGTGTCTAAGCTTTAGCAAAGTCAGGCCAGGAGCTTTCCTGAGCTTGTTCAGAGGCTTAGACTGGTCCTCATGGCCTTAAAAACCAAACTTGGGGTGATTCTGTACAGTTCTACTTGAGTTATGATTAATGTCAAGAACTTGGATGAGAAGCAGGAAAAGACTTTGAATTTTCATGCAGCTTGCTTTACTGTTTAGCAAAAGGTTCTCCCTTATCAAATACCCACATTTTGTCATAAAAACTTAAAATATTTTGGTTTAGCTCTACTTGCAATTCAAACAACAATTTCTTGACTTTTGTCTTGTCTATAAAAACTGTGAGTCTATCTGCATCTTTGATAATGTTCCAGTTTCAGGGATTCACATTATAATAGTAACTAGACATAGAACATTATTCTCTGGAACTTTGATTACATGACACATAGAGAAGAGAATTAAAATAAAGATTATCAACTAGACAAAGTTTGCAAACCCTATATATTGACAATGCAAATAAAAACCTGTAAATATACATATAATATACAAAATTGAGCTCTGTAACTGAGTCACTGATACAACCTGCATGCAAGACCCAGATAGATCTTCATTTCCAAACTCTTACATTAATACAGCAGATGTTTGCTGCTAGGTTACTACGGTGCTAAATTCAATTATTTAAACTGCTCATTAACAGCATGCTAAACCCAAACAGCCTCTCTGCTAACTTGCAATGGAATCTCATTTTGTAGGCAGCTAGATATAGAAGTTTTAGGCCAGTATACTGCCTTTTGGATCCAAATAATTATAAAGAAGAGGTGTTTAGTTGAAGGAATGATCAAGAATAACCCATATATCACTTGAACAGATGCTATTTATATGGAATGCCCTTGGTTGACTGCTGTTTTACTAAACAGCTGCTAACCTCTAAGCAAGAACGTTAAACAGTAAGATATATAATCGAAAATGTTTTCTGAACATTACATAGGTCAAAATTATGTAACGTTACACACAACACACAGAAATACTACCTGATATCAAAATACTAAGAGATACTGATGAAAAAGGAAAATGGCCTTATTGCTGAACTTGATTTGTACTTGATTTAAATTATTACTGGTGTACCACAATGCCTGTAAGTCAAGTTGTAGTTAGACAACATAGAACTCTGAATTGTGTAGCTTGTGAAACGCCATGATCTATTAAATGATGGATACAGATCTCATAGCTCCCAAATCCCCCCTCCCCAAATTTTGGAAATGTTTACATTGCAAAGTAGGCACTATTTTGAAATACTCATTTGCTTAGTTCCCAATGGCCCCACATAAGAAGCCTACACTTTTCCGTCAGAATAAGAAACCACAACTAAAGATCACTGGTACGTGCTCAAGAACTGAAAAAAACAAAGCCAGGTTCTAGGCCTATTTGAAAGAAAGTAAACGGTGCCATAAGAATAAATTAGTATATGAAAACATTCCAAATGATTTTCCAACATTTTGGCATCAAAGGGTTTGGCAAGCTTAATGAACAATAGTTGAAACCATCAATTTCCAAACTATTATTACACTTGTGTCAATCAAATAATGGTTTAAAATAGTCAATTGTTGGTCCAAAACGTATGAAAAATGCTACATTCAGGAATTTCAGAAAACCAGATAAGTAGTAAGAATTCATATGTGTGAATATTATTGTGGAAAATTTGCTGGCCCACATTGTATGCCAAAACTGCTGTTACGAAGTACATGGGTATTGGGAAAATAACTAAGCAGACAGACAGACGAAAAATACCACACAATTTATTAAGTAGATGGTGAGATTTATGGGGAAAGGGGACAGTGGGTAGAAAAAGTGTGGTTCAAAATACGAACCACTTTAGGTGGACAAGAGAAAAGTTAAATGATAAATTTGAAATGAGCAAACTATCGTTGTAATGGCAGTTGCAAGTAAAGTGTTTCATATGGGTGCTTTTGTATACCCTCCTACCTGACCATGAGGTCCCATCGTGGGATTGCTGGGGTTGTGAGTGGGGGGCTGTGCATGGGGTGAAGGCTGTGAACCTGCAGGTCCCTATGGATTAATAAAATTGGGGGGAAAGATTAGAAACATTCTTTTCCTAGGCTATTTATCCCATTTTATTCCTTATTTAATTTTAAATTTTTTATTTTCCCCCAATTTCATTCCAAACTTCCAACACTTTTCAGGATGGAACATGACCTGAATCTGGGTGGCAGTTCCATCCAGGGTCTCAACACGCTACTTGCTCCAGTGCAGCGTACAAGCACCATTTTGAGTACTTTAGAAATGGTGATGAAAAATATTAGCCCACTAAAAACCATTTAGCAGGACCACGCATATCAGACGCCCATTAACAGTGTAATTGCACATGCAGTCTTGCACTAGGAAAGACTTGTACCAGTGATTGGGCCAGAACAAACTACAAGAGACAAAACAATTTGGAATACTTCCAACTGTAGAAATTGAACAGTGATGCTAGATGCAAAAATATAGAATTTCACTGGCTGAAGGCAAAAACTTTTGTTTACTTATCAAATCTACTGTATGTGCTTCATAACTGAGAAAAAAGTTTAATCCAAGCATGTGAAAAGTCAGTAAGATGTGGGATGGGGAGGAAGATTATTATTATTTTAATCTGAACACTTGTTTTGTTAATTTAGGTACCTGTAAATTACCCTTAACCAAATTAATACAATGAAGAATTTAAACCAATTTGCCATACTGTGCATAATAAATAAAAAAGTTTTATAAAAACTATTAGCTTCATTTTGAAGTTCAAGTGTTAACCCTGCAAAAAAAGCAATACAAAAAGAACTGCAACTGTACCAACCTCATTTTTTTACTCAAATATCCCATGGGATGAAGTCTAGTTGCAAAACACAATGTTATTCTATCACACACACACACACACACCACCACCACCACAAAGCATTTAGCACCAGAACCTATAGAAAACAGAAAACAGTTCCCTATATTTAAAAACTGACTTTCAGGTAGTGTTTGGCAGAAGCAACAGAGCTTTGGGAGGCTGACATACAAACCCAAGATTAGTAAAACAACAACAGGCAGCAGGAAGTTACAAATGTCACAAGAGCAATCAAGCTGCCTACAACAGGACTCTGGAAACTGTGAACAAAGAAGGAGGACAGAAGTCAAGACGCACAGCTCTACACAAATGAATCCTAGGATTGTAGAGTTGGTAGGGACCACCAGGGTCATCTAGTCCAACCCCCTCCAATGCAGGAATCTTTAACCTAATGTGGGGCTCAAACCATGTCCCTGAGATTAACAGTCTCATGCTCTGCTGACTGAGCTATTTGTGTGGGGGAAATACTTGTACATTTTCCACGACAGAATAGCTTAAAGGAAAGGAAGTAGAAGGATAAGGACTACATCTCACCAGTGCTGGCCAGATGTGAGAAAAAGCAGGGTGAGCATTCAATCTGTAAGGCTTGTACTACTCTGATAGTACTAACTCTACAGCAGGGATTGAAAGTTTTCTAGTATAACATATATGGGCTTTTAGCTCACTCATTAACAATAAGAAATTAGTTTTACTTATGACACTCTTCTTCAAAACACACGGCTGCAGCAGGGGGCCACGAAAAATTAATTCCAAGATTTTATTATAGGATACAAATTTGCTTTAACAATTCTGTGAACACTACTACAGGGGAGGAGAATGTCTTCTTTGGTGTGGATTTTTGGAAAATATGCTCTTCTCAATTTTTTGACTGATGACGGTTCAAGAAATTGTGAAAACGTGATTCCAAAAATAATATTGAACAGGATGTTAGATATTACAGACACTGACAGTGTGGATGTCATCTTCTTCGCTAATGTTACTGCTAAAGCAGGGGTCATAAGAAATAAGTAAAAATAAATTATATCTAATTACCAAAAAATGCATTTTTTTTACTATGTTATGATGATAGTAAAATAGTAAATTGTGATTGCTGCCTTGGGTATCTTAGTAACAGAAGGTAAAGCAAAAAGGCTGTAGTAAATTGCAGTGGCTAGGAACAGAGAGGAGGAAAAGGTTTAAATCAAAGCCAAGAGATCAAACAATGCAAGAGATACCTGTGAGTGTGCAGGTCACAACCATACTGACAGGACTTCAATTGCATTACACTATCATTTGCGCTCTGAATAGTACCTATAGCTATCTTTTACACTGCTTGATTTTTTTCAGCTTACTTGGGCCTGGCACTAGCAGTCAGCCAGGTTGGGCACAGTCCAAGGGCCCCTCACTGGCCCAGCCATGATGCCATTTACCTCTTTCCCCCAATGCTTTTTCTAGTAATGGGCAGCTGTTCCACTTCTGAACAAGAGCCTAGCTTGCCTCCCATCCATGGTGACTGTCTGCCATGTTAAACAACATGCCAAAGTAGGCTAAGTAATTTGCAAAGTATAAAAGCTAAGACACACCTACCATTAAAATATACGTATTCTTAATTAAAATACACAATAAAACAGTGTGATTAAAACACAGCAGGACTCAGGTTGAGAAATCAAGGGAACGCCTATGTAAAGAGGTGAGTCTTCAAAAACTGGCAAACACAGCTGGGGCATATAATGCTTTGGGCTACAGACCAATGAAATCTATAGGAATCTATAGGTTGGGACATTGCGTAATCAGTAACTTAAGATGGCAGGTGGCAACCACAGGAAGGAGCATAGCTTAGATCCTGTTAAAAGTGCCATCTTCCATCCACTGCTAAAACATAGCAGGCAACAGAGTGGTGTTACTACCACCACAAAAGCAGTGGAGGCAGAGAAAGCACATAGAGGCTGGGATCTATCCTGTGCTTGGGTAAGAGGGAACTGTCAACCCCACAGCAACTGCCCCTTCCCCAAGAAATCTGGTCCTAGCCCTAAACGTAATTTGTAAGAATATTTTTCTCCTTCTCTCTACCCAGTTTGCAGTGCCAAAAATGTGCACCATTTGTATATTACACAGTAGTCTCTAATCCAAACAAAAAGTATGTACAAAAGAACATAGAGCACTCCTGTGGCAACAGACTTTCCTGCTAATAAGAATGTCACATGAACATTCTGGAAGGAGCACACAATGTTCACATCAAGGAGCGAACCATTGCTTATGCAAGATGACTCTGGATTAGGTACATTATATAAACATGTTTTTAGTTTTTCTGAAGTTATCTCCATGAAATCGATGTATTCTGTTCTTTTACACTAGATGTCTCTTGAGTGTCTGAGAACTGGCTAGTCTATGTTGAAAAGGTACAATATACTATAACAACACGAATCACACTCGCGATTGCAAAATAGAAGTCCATGAGTAATCCCATAACCAGCAGGACCACTTCTATGAAAAAGCTGGTTTCAGAATATGTCTTTGTTCCTAAATTCTGAAACTAGAAAACTGAACTCCTGTGGTTCTTGTTACTAAAACCTTAAAAGGAAATTGTACATAAGAGGCTGCATTTATATACTGATGCTTAAATTAATAGTTTATGTATCATAACAGGATTCCTTTACTAGGAAAAATCCAACAAGAATACAATGCAAATCCACAAGAACATTTATGCCTTGCTTCTAAACTGAAAATCATATTATATACATTTGCCCAATTTAAATAATTATCTGTTTTGAAAGCACATAGAAACAAGCTAAAATTGTTTGATGCAACTATATTCGCTACAGAACTTTCTAAGTAAAACAATGGAGCATAGAACAGCATGTTAAGGCCAATTTAAACACCACCAGCACCACTTATCCTCCATAAGCTTCAGAAAATCAGCCTGTCATCAATACAAGTCTTTACTTTATTCAATTATACTGATAAATGAAGTAGAACTGATCAGTGTGAATTTTGTACAAGCCAAAGAAGGACCACCACTTGTGCACGTGGGTCCGCCCCCAACACTGACACCAGTGGGGACATCCGCTAACACTAGAGCTATTTTTGTGTTATTCAGAAATTTGGCTTAGTTTATGTTGCAGATGACACCAAATTGGGAGGGGTGGCTAACACCCCAGAGGACAGGATCACACTTCAAAACGACCTTGACAGATTAGAGAACTGGGCAAAAACAAACAAGATGAATTTTAACAGGGAGAAATGTAAAGTATTGCACTTGGGCAAAAAAATGAGAGGCACAAATACAAGATGGGGACACCTGGCTTGAGAGCAGTACATGTGAAAAGGATCTAGGAGTCTTGGTTGACCACAAACTTGACATGAGCCAACAGTGTGACGCGGCAGCTAAAAAAGCCAATGCAATTCTGGGCTGCATCAATAGGAGTATAGCATCTAGATCAAGGGAAGTAATAGTGCCACTGTATTCTGCTCTGGTCAGACCTCACCTGGAGTACTGTGTCCAGTTCTGGGCACCACAGTTCAAGAAGGACACTGACAAACTGGAACGTGTCCAGAGGAGGGCAACCAAAATGGTCAAAGGCCTGGAAACGATGCCTTATGACGAACGGCTAATGGAGCTGGGCATGTTTAGCCTGGAGAAGAGGAGGTTAAGGGGTGATATGATAGCCATGTTCAAATATATAAAAGGATGTCACATAGAGGAGGGAGAAAGGTTGTTTTCTGCTGCTCCAGAGAAGCGGACACGGAGCAATGGATCCAAACTACAAGAAAGAAGATTCCACCTAAACATTAGGAAGAACTTCCTGACAGTAAGAGCTGTTCGACAGTGGAATTTGCTGCCAAGGAGTGTGGTGGAGTCTCCTTCGTTGGAGGTCTTTAAGCAGAGGCTTGACAACCATATGTCAGGAGTGCTCTGATGGTGTTTCCTGCTTGGCAGGGGGTTGGACTCGATGGCCCTTGTGGTCTCTTCCAACTCTATGATTCTATGATACTAAGATTCTATGGTGTATTTTATATGTGCACACATGTACGGTACTTCATTAAAATGCACCTCTAATAGACAGTGAGCTTGTTTGCACATCATGGTAAATTATTAGTTGGCATCCGTCTTTCTTGGAGACAATGGAAGAGCGCACCTTTGAAGGTGAAGTGTGAAGGAAAGTGTGAAATGGGAAAGTGGCTGTGGTTCCAGTGGCACATAATAATCTGTTATGCATTGTAACAAGTTCATGTACAGCGGGGAACTAATAAATGGCTCATTTGAGTGTTGGCCTATATTTTTATGTACTGTTAACTTTGGAACACAGCAGGATGAATGAATAAAACAATCTAGGAATTTATTAGTTTGTGTTTCCTAAGGGGTAGTAAACCTAAAAGAGAATGTAGCTTCAAGAAAGTGCCAAACATGGATGAATTCACTATGAATTGAATTGTCCTACAATCACTATGCAATTTTTCTCCCGCATGCCTTTGCTGGCCATGAAAGGTCTGGCAATCCACTACTGTCCATATACATAGCTCGTTTTAAAGGAATCCAGCTCTGCCACAATATATATTTAGATGAAAATAAAGACAACTCTTTCTTACAGCAAGGACTATTCAGAAGTACTTCTTCCCAAAATATTCCCAACATGGTTTTTATGAATTTCAGGTCTTCTCACACTAATTCATACAGCAAACAAATGCAAAACCCCAAAGTCTCCTAAGATTGGCCTGTGAATCAAGTTACAAAGCACTTGTATAATTTGTCTGCCACAATAATCTTGGGGGGGGGGGAATTGTATGCCATGTTTTAACCCATACCACACAAATACTTTGTGAACTTCTTAATATGATCTTATGTCATCTCCCTGTCTAAAAAGTATAACAGCATCTCTTCAAGATCTCCATATAATTTTACTCATAATGGTTCAAACACCACCTTCCCATTCTTCACAGGGCAGAACACAACACCTGAGATTCATACCACTGATTTTTTTCAATAGTCAAAGAGAATGAGTCAAAACTGGATTATCAGAGACATGCTGATTAATGCAAAGGGGAAACAAGTGCCTTTCCAGATGATAAAAAGAATTGTTTCAGGAAAATGATATCTTGCCTTCAAGTAATCTGCTGGGTTTTTTTGGTTGGGTTTTTTTTTAATTGTTCAATAAACCCCAGCAAATGGGAACAGCAGCATTTGAAAACTGTATAATGTTAGTTTGTCTCCTGCAACAATTGGGTTCCATAACTTCAGGACACTTCATTCTGTCACCAAAATGAGGAGAGAATCACAATATGTTTTCACAAGCTTTCCAGAACTTCCCAGGTATGGAGTTGAAGGAAAGAACTTTGGTCACTGAGACAAATGTGGATGCGAGGGTCTCTATGCGTGAACCACATAGGAAATACCAGGAACCTATCCTTTGCTGACTCTGAAGAGGACAGCATTCGAGATAGACAAATATCTCTTTTCTGAAATAATTCCACATTCTA